GACCTGAGCTGTGTCCCTTGCAAGTGTTGTCTCCCAGATTTCTTTATGGATTCCACTGTCATCTTTCATCTGCACTGGTCACAAGGGCATTTAGTGAGATTTCCTATATTGTAATCTTGCCTTTTGTTTTCAATACAGGTACAAAGGCTCTGCTAGCACAGCTATGATAACAGCAGTGGTCCTGGCTATTCTTAACCTTGCTTAGACCTGGACTAGAATCCTTCTTTGACTACCTCAGACATAACCTAATCTCAAAAATACTAATAGTGATGAAAATACTTGATCTGTAGGCACAGTATTTTCATGCATTCAAATTTACCATCTGTCTTGATGATTTTACTCACGTAAGGTGACATTTTTAGTTATACATGGAATTGCAGCTTGGTCAATAAATCTGCCTTCCCAAAAAGGTTACTAGGTGTGAGTCAGTGGTTACAAGCAAAGTGAAAACTTTGAGGTACAAGATTTATCCATTATTCAGCAGTGCAATAAGAAAACAGAGCTGACAGCATTTGCAGCATTTCTTTTAAAACACATGATTTCTTTTGCACATCATAGTACTATACACCAATCCCCTGCATGTAGTTGTAGTGTCCAATTTGTGCTTTAATCTGAGCATGAAAATAGGGACAAATATCTAATTCACACTTAGATCATTCTATTAGATTTTGAATCAAGCTGAAGTTTCTTGCTGTTTACATCAGATAGGAAAAAGGTTCCTGCATATGTACAATTGGTTCAGGGCAGGAAACATTTTGTGGATATCAAACTTAGGTCTTCATTTCCCTGCAATCCTGTATCTCTCAGGTGAAATTAACACAAAAGCCATTCAAAATTACCTAAAAACCCTCTGTAACTTATATACTGCTGCCCTCTACTGCACATAAATATATTTACAAACCCTTGAAACAAACCTAACATCACTATTTTTAGTAAAACATTGCATATGAATTTCTTGCATTTCTTGGGCTCATACTACCTTCTGGTTTTGCCTAAAGGATGCTGATTTGAAGCTAAATATTTCATTTAACTCATCTGTGGATCTGAATGAGCACAAAGGACATCAGTCTTAAACCAAAGCAAACTATTAACTTAGACCTTTAGAGGAAAGCCACAACTCAAGCAAGAGAAAGTCAAAATCACTTCTCAAAGCTGCAATCCTATAATTAATGAAATCATTTAAGATGGCACAGCAAAATAGCATCAGACAATCTGCAGCTGTAACTTTGTTATTTGGAGGTTGCACAAGCCCTGCTAACTCCAGGGTTACATCTTTAATCCAGCATTAGATCCCACACGTGTCTCTCATGGCTTTGCATCACTCTACCAGGCCTGTTGTCACCCTGTCCTCCTCTTCCCTGTGCTCTCAGCCTCCCCAGCTTCTTGCAAGAGCTGGCACATGGCTTCAGTGCAGGACTTTCCCATATTAACAGGGAGCTGGAAGAAGGCCACATTCCCCTTTTTCCTGCAATCATATGGGGTCAAACCTTGAGGCAGGCATCAATGAGATCTGTTCTGGGACAAGATGTCCCAATAGTGCATCTAGGGCACAGAGAGGAGCAGCAGTCACTAAAACTCTACTGTCATTATCACCTTAGAAAAACCCCAGATGCTCACAGAACCACTGCCTGGCATTACAGTTTCTTAAGAGCCACAATGCACTATTTCTAATTGGAAAAAGATTGTTTCATACAACTATAAAACTGTATGGTCATCATGCATGGGTTTGTGGGTCAGTTTGGAAACCAACACCATAAAGGAACTGCAGGCATTTAAAACACTTCACAACTGAGGAACTAATTTCAAAATAATTACCTGAGCAGAATTATAAGGCAACCTGAGAACTTTTTTTAACACAAGACAAGCAAGATGCAAGCAAAAAGAAATTGAGTCGTCTCAATCCCACACTTTCATAAATTCAAGAACAATTAACAGTGAACTCCAAATGTACCACAAGACAGTTCGTGCACTTGGGAGATTAAAGAAGAATTACTGTGAGAGCCACCAATCATCTTTAGGGAAGAAAAACAGCACCAAGTTTTCATTTCCTCTGAGAGCTGAGACAGCACATTATTCACAACAGGAGACAATCAGTATTAGATCAACTTTATTATATTATCAAATTTGACAATAAAATATTCAAAATCTATTGAACACATTCATACACAAAAACATATAAAATGCCAGGCCTCAGAATATGTTCTGTACAAAATACTGGTTAGTGTAGAGCAGCAAAGTCACTGCCAAACATTCCCTGAATTTAAGAGGGCCTTGAACACACTGTGCTCCAAGAACTACCTTAATACCAAACATTCCTTCCTTTGGTCTGCAAGTCCTTTGCAATTATTGCTAGTTAGTGAAGCTTTCTGCTTTTGTACAAATCACATAGTGACTCTGAACCTCTTCAGAAGTACTCCAATGACAGCTGAAAGCTTCTTCAGCATTGTCTATACAAGTTGCCAAAAATAAGAAACACATTTGGTCCTCAAGACTAGTTTTGGTTTCTGAAAATATCCTGGAAGAATAAAACTAAGTAAAAATTATGGAAAGAGACACATAATTAATGCTTTAGGTATAACAAAGATACATTAGTGAATTCAGACACTTCAGCTGTGCAGTGTGGCAAAGCACCTGAGTTAATCCTCTTATCAAAGTGCCACATTCTCACAGAAGATATTTTTCAGACCTCCCTCCCCACAGGAATGGAGACAGCTCAGAGCCCGTGGCTGCAGCAGGTCTGACAGCAGCGCTCAGTGCTGCCCCTGCAGAGGATCTGCTCAGAGAGCAGCCACTCCTCACACACAGTGCAGGGCTTCCACCTCAGCAACCGGAATAATGCATTCACTTCTCAATGAGAACTGCATCCTAACATACAAGAAACTGCAAATGAAAGGGCTGATGATCATTTGGAAGGGGGAAAAACGACCCCACACTTTCTGGACATAAAACTCCAGCTTGCAGATGCACCACAAGCAATCAAAGAACACCAGAGGTGCTGTGCTTGCTCTCACACAGTACTTAGGACTCAGGTACACACATTTCTTTACAACAGTACAACAAGGCTTTATAGTGACAAACAAATAAAAGCCTCGAAAAACCTTCAGCTTCATTTTACCACATTAACTACCACAAGGCTTGTCTAGTAACAGAAAACTGGTATAGAAATCGTCAGTTTAAAAGATACAGCCAACTAATCTCAGAAACTATACTAGGTTGCCAAAATTAGAAAATAATAAAAAAGTTGTGCTTTTTTCTTCTTTTGGGTCACAAAAAGTGTATTTAAAAAGTACTAAAGAAAAGAGCCCAAGCATTTTTTGAATAATGTATTTTGGAACTTCAAATCACAAAAAACCCTGCAGCTAAATTCTTGCTAGGAGACTGAAAATGCTATTGATTAATGGGTAAGGATCCAAATGAATCTTACAAACATTCTCCAGATCAGGTTAAGAATTGTTTACCTACATTGTTTTCTCATTTTTCAGCCCTTGATGTCTATGTTGGTATCCTGCAATACAGCCTCCAGCTCCACTCAATCCAGTGCTTATTAACAGGCATTCTCCTTCAGCAAGAAACACAGATTGTGATTATATGTTTTCTGTAATTTATTCAGATAGCCATTTATTCAAAAATTGAGTCAGACCAAGGAAGAGCTTTATCATCTTCAAACAGTCTTGGAACACAAGCCTGAAGCTTATCCAGCTGACAAGCCCTGCATAAAATAGATCACTTGGCTAAAGGGCAATATCTGTGGGGATTTTTTGAAGGAGGGGTTGAGTTGGCTTTTTTCTCCCTCCTTGTTGTTGCAGGGCTTCTTCTTTTGTGGGGATTGATTGCTTAGGTTGACTGGTTGTGGGGATTTTTGTTGGGTGTTTGTTGTTGTTTTTTTTTTTTTAATCTCAGCAGTTACACATTGCAAAGGCTGTGGACAAGTCAGTACTTACTCTGGAAAAGTCTAGGCAATATTGCTGCTGGACTATGGGGTCCTGGACAAGTGAGGACAAGATTAATGATCCATTTTAAAAATCAGGAAAACATCTACACTCCCTCAACATAAGCACTAGGAAAAAATGCAGGGGGGAAACAAAGCTACATAAGGAAGTTAAAACCTAGTTGGTGATGACTCTAGTTCTAATTGTTTTGAATAAACAAAAGATTTCTGAATTAAAACTAAAGTCTTAAAACTACCTCCTGATTCCATTCTACAATAGCAGGAGTTCAAGCCCAGCAGTTCAACAGATCTTATTGATATGTCCAGTGGCAGAAAACATTTTAGGCATGCTACCAAAATAGTTAAAACTTTAGCCTTTAGACAAATTCAGTTTCTTAAGTAACAAATCCTTAATAGTTTGATGAGTTTCTGCAACTCTTAAAATATTTTTCTTGGAGAACCTAGCATTTTGAAAGCATTCCAAGCTGTGTTTTTAGAAAACTAAGTGCTGTCTAACTGGGTGATTTGTTTTAAAGCAAGCAAGAGAAAATTTTTGAGTATAACTATTTCTCCAACAGGACATCTGTAATCAGGGTGGTAGATATGATGGCCTTTAGACCTGAACTTCTGTGGAGGTCAGAGTTGAAATAACTATTTTAACATTGAGTAGAACAACACTGTAGGAAATTACAGAACTGCGTGTTCAGCAGTTTATAGAAACACTTAAGGAACCACATGTCCCAACTTCTTCAAACAGCAAAAATGAAACTTGTAATCTATGGGAAATTACTTTTAGTCCTAAAGCAAAAAAATTTCTTTTCAGTGGAATGCAATGTTGATCCAGTCACTGCTTAGTCAGATAACCGGATCAGAGCCAAAGTATTTGACTGAGAACAAAGTTTATACTCCATACTGGTTTTCATTCCCCACTCTATTTCAGAAGGTCACTTTTCTTTAAATACTGCCTACCATCGATTATCATTTCCACCACAGGAGGTTGTTTTCCACCCAGAAATGCAATTCTATACCTTACAGATTGCCAGTATTCAATTAGCTTTGATTGGTGTGCTACAAGTTATTACAAGCACCAACCACAGTTTAGCTTCATTCCCTCACTGAGAAATAAAGCACAGGCTGAGAACTCCTCAGACTCCAGACAGTATGTGATCAGGGATTCTAGAAGTTGATGAGCAAACCATTTCCTCTTTCTAAAATAACCCAGTAGGGAACCTAATAAAGAAGCTTCAAGTAATTCACACATCTATCTTTCCCCCCCACAGGCTGTAATAAATAAAAGTCTGGATTACAATGGTAGCACAGTTCCAGGCAGACCTCTTCCCTATTTTCCCTAGTAGATATGCACATTTACAAACTAATCCACTGAGAACTGTGGATCAGAATATGCAAGACCTTTTAAAATGCTTACTGTGTTTGCCAAATTGTTAATACCATTCCCTTGGGCATCCAAAATTGCCATCCTTCCTAGCCTTCCACTCCAAACCTGCAAAGACCACACAAAGGAACTCTGGGATCTATGACTCATGTGGTACATGCAAGGGGCTGCAGAGTGTCCAAATGAAAGTCTGTATGACCATTGGACACAACACCAGAGGCACCAAAATGCGTATTTGACAAAATTTTCAGAATGTGAAAATACCATGAAACATCATGAACACAAATCAGAGACAAACAATCATTTAGAATACCAAGCAACTTGAAAACAACCTTTTAAAAAAGCAAAATAAATAATTCAAATATCTAAATATCAAGGGATTAAAAGGCATTTCCCCATATTTAAGGGAAGGCATCACAGGTGAGGAAAATAACTATCAACACAAGGTTATCACAAATCAAAGAGCAGCTTTTTCACATAGGAGATCGTAGTTTCATTGGACAGCATTTGAATGTGCTCGTTTCCTGCAAGCTCAAGCATCACCACTTCCTGTTCTTGCCTGTGCACCCACTTTCTACACTGCAAGGCACTCTGTAAGTTCACTGTACCATCCCCATCGCTGTAGAAGATCTTGGGCTCCCTGTCAGGGAAGCTCTCGTAGTGGAAGGAGTCGGGGGTTTCCACGCCCGTGCCGTAGAGGCAGTGGATGCGCACGCCGGGCGGGGTCATGGCGTACACCAGGGGCTCCGTGTCCTGCCTCATCAGCCAGCCATCCTCGAAGTTAATGTCCCTGTAGAACTTCCAGTAATCCCTCAGTGTGTAGTTGGCTGTGGGGGTGCTCACAAACACCTTGTCTGGAGGCCACGTGTAGTTGTAGGGCAGCATCCAACTCGTGGAGACTGCCGATCTCTGCTGGTCTCTGATCTTGAGGGAACTGATAACAGGGATTCTGTTGTTGTCACCTTAGGGAAAAAAAGTGGAATTTCATTATCCAGAAAGCAAGACATCAATCTTAATCAGTAACAATTACTAGCACTCACGGTGATAACATGAACAAGTTTGTTCCCCTGGCTTACAGTGACAATTTGAAAAGTTTTTCCTCATTTATGATTGTCTCATAAATTAACTCCTGCAAACTGACTTTTAATAACTTCCAAGATTTAAATATGAGTTGATGAATAGATGAAACAAATGGCTTACACTAACACATTACTAAAGGATAATTTATATGCACCTTTCTGCATATTTTAACAATTGTTCTTCCATCTTCACAAAATCAAAAGCTGCTTACTAATTACAGTGATTACTTTAAAAAAAAAAACCCTGAGACAAACAAATTTATATTCCTTGTTTTTTAAATTATCACAGTGGCTGTCACATCTCAATTCTTTTGTCAGCTGAACTTTGAGTTTTATTTTCCATTATTAGATCCAGGTGGTTACAGCATGTAGTGGTCCAGGTCAACCATGCCATAAAAATTGAAATGCTGCAACTGAAACCACTCTTCCTGAAAAATATACTTTGGTGCTATTTCAATTCCATAGGGTGGCACTATTGCTTCAGCAAGGAGAAACAAAGCACAGTAATGCCAGCTTTAGGAGGACTATATGGAGACATTGCTAGTCTGAAAGAGATAAAGGAAACTCAAATGCACAGCAAGAATCACAAAGGTCCTGAAAAATGGATCTCGTGATTGTGTGTGGTGTAACAACTTCACTGTGCACTCTCACTGCTAAGTTACTGAACACTGCTTGGCAGTTTACAGCACAGAAAGCCCAAGTTCTGAACTGAACAATGAAAGGAATGTGCACAAGATTTATTTCCAGCAGAATAATCAAATACAGAACCTGATTATCCCAGCCTTCTCTTACAGAACTCTCACACAGTGCTTCTCAAATCCTTTACTTTTTGCAAAGTGAAGTAATACAGGATGGCCAACACCACATTTAAGTCAGCAGACACATCAAAACATAAGGAAGACACTGCTAACATTTCAACCTTTCAACACATTAAAAATAGAAACAAACCACTGTGAGCTTTGTGTCCCTGCCCACTATAGTGGGATCCAGCAAAGCTCATGTACAAGTAGCTGAAAGTATCACAGCAATCTCCAGAAAACAATTCCACCTGTGTACTGTTTACCACTTTGATAACACAGCTGGATTTGACATGAAGTTCCTGGCATCACATATTATAAACAGGAATGGGAGCAGAAAGAATGCATTCATAGAGTGCCTTGTCTTTCCTGCTGAAATGCAGTATTTTCCTTTAAAGTTACAATTCTTCAGCACACTAACCCTAATAATTTTAGAAACTGTTAAATGGACTAATGCAGTCCAAGGGCTGATGGTGGCGCTTTACTACAGATATTTGAGACAGAAACAGCTTAAACCTGTACATTCTGATATTATGTTTGCCCATGTAATTTTCCCACATGGTTCTTAAATTTCTGCTCCAAAACATAGAAGTTTAGTTCAACACAGATTAAAATATGACTGACTATATTTTAGTAGAAATTTAGCTATTCATTATGCATTAGTAGAATTAGCCCCTTTGCTTGAGATGCATTATAAAGTGTAGACAAGGTATGAAGCACAAAAGTTTAACCCAACAGAGATAAGGGACTATGGAATATAATAGTGTAATTTTATGAGGGGAATATAAACATTGTTCACTTCTTGCCATTTCTGTAGCAAGCAAGTACATCAGACAAAGCCTGTGGGAAAAGGGAAATAAATTTTTATAGTGACATTTCAACAGCTTTAACAATGTGTAAATTGGATGTTTGTATTGAGTCAAGTTTTCTAATTAGCAATGGAGTAGTGCACTACTGTTCAGAATCAAATGCCTTTGCTAAGCAAAGTATTCTTTGCTCTGTCCATGCATGGCTGACTCTTGCTGTGTTTTGCATTTTGATGAAGCCCAATTTTTGATGTCAGCTTTGATTAGGAAGAAGACAGTGGATATCCAAAGCTAACAAGTCAGAAACAAGCTACAAAACCAAGCCAGAAACATTGAGAACTAAATGTCAAAGCACATGATGCAATTATGGTATCACATGATGGGTAAGTGAACATTTTCCATCAGTCATTTTCAGTTACTTAGTGAAATACTTTATGCTGCTTTATTCAATTTTTTTGGTTTTAGTCTCTGGCATATCCAGTGTGCTAAACCCAAGACCTCAAAGATTCACCTTCCTAATCTGCAGAGTTACAATTTTCACCTGACATTAACACTGAACACAAGTTCCCCACCATCTCTACAACTTTCCTTTAATGTTAACCTCAAGCAGCTGTGTGATCTTTAATCAAAGGAAACTGCTGAATGCTCTGGAGTCCTTGGTAGCTTTGCAATACTGAACAGAGAGCAATCTGGCTGGTGGCAGAAGAGACAGAAAGGGAAAGCATCAGGCCAAACAGCGGACAACACAACAATCTGCTGAAAAAAGGTCAGGAGAGGTCAAGAAGGGAGAAAGCTCCTGCTTACAGGATGTGGGAAATCTCAGTCCACCCCCACAAACATGAAAGATAACAGTTGGGTTGCAGGGCTTGAAACACCTAGTTGTTATTGCTTACAAAAAAGTATTTTTCCCTTCATGGTACCTTAAACTCTCATCCTGCAGTCACAGCCTTGTTAGCACTGTGCACTACACACAGCACAGGGCAAAACCTCAAATTACCTACCTGAGGCCAGCACACGCAGAGTTTTGGCCACTCCCCCCCACGGAGCACCTAATGACACATAATCCTTGATGTACTTGTCCTTCCAATCCTGGGACTGGCGGTTCAGGAAGTAGAGGGTGTACATGTTCCCCATGCTGTGGGCAATCAGCACCACAGGGCTCCCATACTGCTCGTACAGCAGCTCGATCATCTTGCGAAGCGCCACAAAATAGTCTTCATTCTCATCTAAAATACACACATTACACAGTGAGAGTTCTTAATTGGGAATGCTGAGCTTTAAAAGCAAGATTTTAAATAATGGTGTTGAACTGTCTGCAGAATTAATAATGCAGGCCTTAGAAATTTCAATATTGAATGGGAAGGGTGGGGGTTTTTCATACTTTGCTGAAATGGGTTTTTTCTGTTGTTTTGTTCTGGTTTTAAGCAAATTTTAAGTAGCAAGTTGTTTAAAGAAGAAAAAAAACCGAAACCACAACACTGAGCTTGAATTTGTATCCAGGAGTACCCTGGTCCTGAGAACTAAACAAAATTAAGTTTTTAGATTGTGAAGGATGGGAAAAGTGATTCAATACGTTATTTGCTGGCTAGGAGAGTCATAATTTTATTAAAGTAACAGTATATTATTTACTTGGTGCCTTTCTCCAGTCATAAGGTGCTCCTCTTACATCTTCATCACGTTTGTAGCCCCAATCTACTAAACTCTGCACCAACATATAAAAGTAACTTCCTGTAAATATCAGATAAGAGAGAAACAGAAGAGTAACAAGGTTAGTGTGAGAAGCAGCTGTCAGCCACTACTGCAAAACATGTTCCAGAGGCAGTATCTGTGACACCATATGTACACACTAAACCTGCAGTTTGCCTTTAACAATCTAGAAAGCTGCATGCATATTAAACAAAATTAGTTATGTTCACTATCCCCCAAAATCGAGAGAATATCACCACTAAAACTTCTTACTAGATGGCTGACCTCTCAAACCTTTTGGCAGCCAAATGTAGTATACACAAAGTGGATAAATTTTATTCAGCAGAGGAAAGTTTACCCTTGACCTGCAAGATAATAATTTCTGAGGGGTTTTCAGAGTCATAGCTTTTGTTGATTACAAATTGACAACAGGTAGGGAGTAACAGTTGGCCTGGACTTCAACATTTATTCTTGGAAACAAATGCTTATTATGTACCCTAGGGCAGAACTCCAGAAACTACCCCAAAACTTTTTTTATCTCTGGGGTAGTGGACTAAGACTTAAGTAATTGAAGATAAAGCTGTAATAGCAAGAAGGGAAATAGCTGCAGACTGAATATTGAAAGATGTTACTTAATACAAGGTTTGACATGTGGGATTTAAGTATTACCACGACTAAATGCATCAGAACAGTCTGCTGAACATCAGAGCCATGTTTAAATTTTGAGCAGAACCTCATTTGTTAGTCTTGAATGTTTATCATACTGTCCTTCAAGTGGAGTATTGAATCATGGTGCAAGAGTGACCTAGTGCAGATCACTAAACACATCACTGCCCTCAAAGAACAGATCCATGCTATGCAGCTCGTGAAGCTCAGTCCATTACTGACTATTCAACTCCTCCAGTCGTCAGCCACAGTGAACAACTCACAAAAGCTTATCAAAACTCAGTTTTCTGAAACATGACTTCTACAAAAGTATCAAACAAAAGCCCTGCAAACACATGAATGCAGAAATCTTTGGCAGCACAAATGCAATTATATAATTATTCTGACACCAGCAAAATACAAGGAGCTATACACTGTGGTACCATATCTCCCAGTCCAATTAACCCAAAGAACAGCTTACTCAGAACTCGTGCTTTTATTTCAGTTTTGCTTGTCAAGCTTCTGTCACAGAATTTTCTACTCAACCCATGTCATTTTCAGAAAGCATCTGTCCTCAATATGCCTACTCAGATTTCATCCACCAAACTTAGATTTGACTAAATACCATGGAATCTTCTTGTCCCAATCTGTCAGGCCACGCAACAAATGAAACAAGACAATGCAATGAACACTCTTAAAAGCCAAGTGATTTGAAATCACATTTCAGGAGCTTGTTGCATAAAGACAAACGAGAAAAACCCTGCAAGTGACAAAGCACTCCAGACAGCTTGTACATACCAACGCTCCTTTTACTTGGGTCAAGAAATTCCAAGGAAAACGTCTGCCCAAAGCCTGGCACTCTGATATCCACCCCATCTGGTGGGTTTGTGATCTTACTTGTTCGATTATACACCAGCCTGGGGAGGAGGAGAAGGAAAACAATGAAAAAAGCCATGAACCATGTTTTATTGCCACATGACAACCCTCAATTACACTAGGTCTTACATTCTGAGTGCAGTACAAGAACTTTAAGTGCTGTTACTCAGAAGGAGGAAAAAACCCAACCCAAGCAGACACAATCAGAGTACTCTCATGGCTAAGAGATTATACAGTGCAAACAATTACTTTAATTACTTCAATGCTTCATGGTGCAGAATCTAAAACTTTTGGTCTTGTAAAACTGAGCATATGGAAGTGCAACTGAACTTCATCTTTAAAATATCAGCTTCTTTATATAGTTCTACACCATTTGACTTTGCATCGAGCCACAAAATGGAAAAACTTATGAAGAGCATAGGAATGTGGCAATATGACAGAAAATACCTATTAAATCAGACATCAAAAATATTAACCTACCTAAAAATAATTCATTTCTATTTAACTAGAAACACCCATACCAGCATAAGGGAATACTTTATCTCCTGACTAATGACAACTAGCACCTCAGTAAACATATTGAGGTAATGAATATTGTGTAAATACTTTTCAAATCAACTTAGGATGTGAGGAATCTGGAGCACTGAGTCAGGAGTTTATTTCTTTAATCATCCCTGTTATTACAGTTGGGGGTTGGTTTGTTTTTAGTACCATATCAATACAATTTTCATTTCTGAATGCAAGTTTTTGCCCCTAGATGGAGTCTAAGAATCTAAACTGACGCACAAATCTCTTAACAAAAATCTCTCTAATCCATAAGACACAGGGCGAGACAAAGCGGATTGCTTTACAACAGCTCAGTACATTCATAAAAGAGCAACATACCAACACAATAGTTTTTAATTGCACCAGCTAATTATTTCTTGTTTTCATATTTATATTTATATTATTTTACAGGAACACTAATAAAAACAGATTGGAAATAACATGAAAGCTTTAAATTAGGCAATTTTTAAAACCAAAATATTTCAGCTGGAACTTCCTGTGCATCAGTTTCTGCCCATTTCCTCTTGTCCTACTGCTTGGCAAAAAAAAAAAAAAAAAAAAAAAAGAGCAGAAAACCTCCTCCTTGAGATAAGGGCCATAGAGGAGTCTAACAAGTGCTCAAAACTACACTGAGTCACTGGTAGAAGAGAAAGGGGAAGAAATTAAGAGAGCCTCTGCTCCTCATCAGCAATTACAGCCACTTCAGATGAAACAGAGCTACATCCTCAGACCCATCTTGTTAGCCTACCCAGCAGAATTACAAGTCATTCCTTTCACTGGTCTTGAATCAGAAAAGGAATTTAAAGGCAGCCATTCTGCATGTCAGCCTATGGAAAGGATGTAACTGCAAAGAGCAATATTCCTGCTCTTACCTGATATTATCAATCCAGCAGTCAATGATGACAGGCAGAAGCAATTCTAGATTCAGCCAGAGTGTAAAATAACTGTCTGTCTTCTTAGAGCAGAGATAGTGCACCACTGATGGCTTATCTAACTTTGCTTCCAACTGATTCCCTAAGTCCCCTGGAACTGAAAAATATAAAGAGGAGAGAGAGATGTAAAAAGGAGACAGTTAATTAAAGCATATAACATTTTCTACTGCAGTATACACAGCTAAATACTGTAGCCCTTATGTGCATGATCACTGCACCCAGAGACACCATCAGGTTTTGTAATTGGAGAACAAATGCAATAAAATAAGAACGTACTATATATACATCTTCCACTGAAAATATTTCTATAGCTTCAAAGCTCATTACCTGAGAAAACAACATGTAGAATGATTCTGGATGAACAGCTCCTAACTTCAAAGAGCAGACTGTAAAGGAGCATGTAAGGCCATAGGTATGAAAAAAAAAGATTATCTAGGACATCATCAAACTGATCTGTGTTTCCAAGTACAGACTGAATCTTTCTGAGAGAACTTTTTTTCCAGAGCATCACAACTACATAACTTCGTTCTCTTTAAATGGCTGCCTGCAAACTATCAATTTGACATCAGAAATGTAAAAAGTAAAAGACTGATTGATATTACTTATCTTCCCTTCTTCACATAAAACCAGACTCTTACAACACAAGACATGGTTGGCTAACAATGTAAAAATGTAGTTTCATCTCTTACATTCAGGTTTTGGCAACAGTTACATTTTTTTCCTCTGGATACCTTACATGAGTAAGACTTGGTGGAAAGGGTCTTTGCTTTTTGCACCTTCTTAAGGCACATACTAAATGTCAGTATTCCTTCGACTAAGGTTTATTCTTCATTATTTTTTAAACCCTAGATGGAAACAGGAATATTTTCCCAAATTAGAATTAGTCTTAAACAAACACTAACAATTTTCAGCACCAAGTTTTCAGAGAAACTTCTTATATTGTTATGTTTAGTCATTTTTTCCTCAAGAACCAGAGAGAGAAAAACATTTCAGTAACTGAAAAGTTTTTCTGTATTAGAAAAATTTATAAGTTAGACACTTTTTAAGGGTTTCCTCCACTCCTTTCAGGTCCACAAAGCCCCCTTTTTAGGGTGTGCATGTCAATGTTTAATTTTGAAGTTTTTAAATACAGGTCTACCCATACATTTGTTCCCCCTATCCTCCAGTAAACTGTGCAATCAAATCAGTTTGAGTTCTATACTACACTGATACTTAGCAATGGTTTAAGGAAAGAGAGAATATCATTTAGCAGAATGCCTAATTTAACCAGAAAACCAGATGTGCTTTTAGAAAAAAAGTTATTGCAGAACTGAAAAAGGGCAAAACTTCAGATAACCATATTCTTGCAACCTCCAACCACAGCAGGTTTTGCTCCACCATGAGATGTACCTCAGGATTTCTTTATTAACTACCTCTACTTTCTCATTAGGTTTTTAGGAGCTTTATTTTTGTCACCTTAAGTGAAACGTTAAAAGGCCCAGTAGCTGACCACGGTTTATTTTAGGTCATATTTCAAGGACTCTGATATACTGGAAAGCATAGTAAGGGAGATTTCAGCATTGCATCACACCTTAGAAAGAGTTTACTGAAGTTCAGTCTTGTAACCTCACAGAATCCTACTTAGAAATTGCTTAGAAAACTAAGGCAACAACTTGTTCCAGTCTCGTGCCTCTGCCCTATCAGTGCTTTTAATTGGAAAGGGAACAGAACGTAATTCTATTTATATCAATCTTTCATGACTGGCCAGTTTCAGCAGCAGACCTGCCAAGGACAGAACAGGTTGATTTTGTCTTCAGTTTCAATGCAAAACAAAGAAGGGTGACATTTTGTTCTAGCCTCATTCTAGAATCTCACTTCCTTGGGTAAAAATAAAGTTCTTCCAGCAAAGACACCCTTCAAAGACTTAGACAAACACCTGGGGTATTAGGGTTTGGAGAACTTGCTGAGGTTTCCAAACTGCACTCAATCAATCACAAGCACTCCTGCTCAGAGCAGGGAAAACACACAGCTGAAGAAGTTTCAATTATAATCAAGATACATCTATCAACAAAGCACTGAAAGCAGGAAACTGTACAAAATCTCACTTGGACTTAATGGAATGATCTCAGATTATCTGCAACTTTCATTTAGTTAAGAAATTTTATCTTCAAGCTTCTGGAGGATAGAGGCTCTACTCCTGTGTCCAATTCAGGACACAAGATGAGAAACATGACATACTGATGTTACTCAAGGGATGATAAGAAACAAGATGAAAAATGGCATTTTTTTCAATTCTAAACAGAAGATAAAGGACAAGTTCTACCTGTGCAAAGATAAATACTGTAGCTAAAAAAAAAAATTCTGATGTACAGGTATGATGCCTGTTTGTTTGTAAAGCTGGGATTAACAAAAATGTTTTTGTCATGTTTACATTTCCATATTAACAGTGAAGTTGCTAATCACTATCACTCACACCTTAGGACTCTTTTATTTTCTAAAGTATACTTTGCAAACTGAAGATGCTTTGTGATGAACCTATGGGAAACAAAATACAAATTTTAAATTTTGAGATTATGGAAAAAAACATGCAAGATCTTCAGCCTTCAACCCAACCGGTTTAACAGTGTTAATGATTTACATTTTGGCTGGAGAACTACTTAGTGGTTTTTTATAAGTAACAGGTTAAAAAATATCACACTGAAGATTAATTCTGTAGGTTAAGGACATAGCTTTCTAAATTTTCTATGGTGGAATTTGAAAGCAGTAGAAAAACATGTTTCCTTTGCTTTCAGGCCATACAGAGGATGGACCTGCAGGCAGAGTAATGTGTATGCAATTTTTCTACTCCTCTCATCTACCAATATCTGCAGTTCCTAAACCTTTTTGCTGGAAATATTAAAGAGTTCTTTAAACTTCTAAAAGTTCTTTTTAAAGTCTGCAAACTGACACCAAAATAACTTGTTTGTGAAGTTCTGCAAATCACATCAGCACTAGTTAAGACCGGATGTCCAAGACAAGATCTTCAGCAGTGCCTTGCTTCCCCAATTTGCAGCTGTGTAATTCCTCTGTTGATTTCTGAACTGCAACACTTGGAAAAATTAGATTTCTTATTCAGCAGAAAAATGTGTTTCCATAAGATTTTGTGTTCTATCAGTTCTAGAACATCCTCCTTTTTCACAAACATGCTAATCCCAACAAAACTCACTCTAATCATCAGTAAGCCAGATTTACTTCCAATGCTCATAGTATCCTTGGCTAATTTTTTGGTCTCATATGGCCCGACAAAACGAGTAGATCTCCCTCTGGGATGTGTTTTTATATGATTAAACTGTAAAGAAAAGCATATTTAGAAATATCATTAGAGTTTAAGAGAGGTAACAGACTGTGAATTGCAGTAATTAGCTTTAGCACACATTCCTACTCCTGCCTATCACTATCCTTAAGTCTTAATGACAAATTCACAGTTCCCATCAAGACACAAGAAGCAAATTGCACCCTAAAAGTGACTTGCCTTAAGACTGCTCAGATAACAAAGAAAAAAGATCATCCACCAATATCCAAATATGAGGATCCTTAGGAAAAAAAAAAAAAGGTATCTATTTAATAACAGGGTGGGGAGCCAGGATATTTTTTCATGCAGGGGAAAAAGAAAAAAAGAGGGCCAGCAGTTGGTACTTTTTTATTGCTTTTATCTGAAATGCAAATGCCTTTGGGTATTTATCAACTATTGTAACTTTTTAACCAGTATTATTTCCTCAAATAACTGTTGTCTCTTTGGTTCTATAAATTAGTCTTCCTGCAAAATGAAGCAACTTCCCAGGAAAATTAATTTTAAACTCTGACTACAGGTCTCTGAGAATGTCTTGAAGCAGCTCTAGACTCCATAGACTGCCACAGAAAAGGCCTTGTTTAAAATTAGGAACAAGAAAGCAAACAACGTCTCACATGATACTTCCAGATACCTTGGATCACATGAGGCATAAACATTTAAATCACTCCTGACATCTAGCCAGCTGACCATACAAACATACACAGCTCAATTAGCAGTCAGCAGGAATTCACAGGCACAGCTCCTTTGCATGTAAATCAATTATTAACAAACTTCATTTAGGCGTCTTTCTAGAAAACTTTAGCCAAGTACCTAACAAATTGTTTGCAGAAGGTATCAGAACATTGATATAGTTATTGTGTTGAGTCAGCTGTAAAAGGTAAAGAGTTCAGTGCATCTGACACTGATCTTATAAGGATGGGTTACCAGCTCCAAAAATGTCCAAGACACGAGATAGTATGCAGTGATTATTGATGGACTGTATCAGAGAATGAAGAACAACCACAAAAACTGCTTGAAACTAGCATTAAAGACAAGCCTGTTAAACATCACCAAACTGATAAGAGAAGGGTAAAAAATTATAGTTCATCTAAATATAAAGCAGATATGCAGAAGTGATTGCACAGAAGATATGTAATATACATTTTCAGTAGATATTTTAGTAGAACAGAAGCATTCAGTGAGTTATTTTGGTTCTTAAAGAAGATTTTTCTGTATGATTACATCATCCTGGCTAAATAGAAAACACTTTTAAAAAGGCATAAAAGCATGTCAGTACCATAATTAGTCCCCTTTTCCCCCAAAACACTTGGGAAAGGAATCTGAGACAATCACCTTCGATTTTAATGAGAATTGGGTCTTATATCAGGCCTTCAAGCAGGCTCTGTAATAAGGTTTTGACTTTCACCTGCTTCTTCTTCTCTAATGTCGCTATTATGTAAATATACTTCAATACTTTTTTATTTACATCTCAGAGAAAACCAAGCAATTGCATTGCAGTATTTTGCTGTCAGTTACTACCTATGGCACTTGGTCCCTGGTGTTGCTCCCTTGGTATCAATGAACACGAGCTCCAGGCAGAGCAGCTCCTGCTCCTAAGGAACCTCGAGTATGCACAGACCAGCTTAAAAACAACCTAACCCAAGCCATGTGGTGCCACTCTCCACATTCCTTGTGCCAGCTCCTCCATTAAAGTAATTCAACTACAAAATTAATCACTTCTTCCTCATCAGGTTATTTCCTCATGCTTTAGCAAGACAAAGGACTGCATGAAGTGGCCAGCAAACAGGTTCAAGGAAAGCTGGGTGAGCACTAACGAGCTGCTAGACTGGCACAGCTGTTCCACAGAGCCACCTTGCACCTGAGCCAGTGGGGGCTCCCCAAATCTGAGCTGCTGCCATCACAGCTGTGGCCAAGAGTTACAAGGCTGTCTTCCTGCAGCTCAGCTGTTTTCAGGTGTGAGATTCCTCAAAGCAGCAGTTTGTCAGTACCTGGGCAGCAGAACAGAAGTTACCCACACATGAGCAACACTCCATATTTTGCAAGATTCTGCTCTAGTTCCCCTCTGTTACTTGGGTAAGAGTAGATTGCAACTGCAAAGTGGGGTCATTACACAAAAGGTTTGAGAGCAAGCTACACTGTGTCTTGTGACCATCCCTGGTCCAAAACATTTCTGAGGTGATCACTATGTTGACAATATTCCTTTTAACAGCATTTCTTCTCTCTTTATTCCTTAAGATCATGTGGCCAACTTGTCACATACAGAGTGTGACCAAATTTAATTCCCCTTTCTACTGAGGCGTGTTAACCTCCAAACAGAACAAGAGGGAGTGCTTTGATCATGAGAACTGATCAAAGTTAGATAAAAATTTATTTTAAAAATGAACTTACATGAGAAGTTAGGAGTCCGGATGCCAGTCTGATAAATCAGGAGGATCAACTCTGGATTCCTACCTCGTATGGGCTCCATATTAATCTCCTATACAAGCTTGTATAGGCTTCTATAATGCAGACTTACAGCCCTAAATCTTTTTCATTTGCATATCCAGGTGATATGGGTTTTTCTCCCTTCCCCCAAACACCTGTGTTAAGCCAGCACTTCGAATGCTTCCCTAAATGATTCTCATAAGCCCTTCCATCATCCTCATCACAGTAATTCCTAAAAAACTTATTTTAACATGCCACAAGTGCAAGAAGGAGGAGAACTGGGCAACAAAAAAAACCAGGGAATTTTAAAATGCAGAGACTGACTAGAAGACAGATACAAGTTCTGCAGCATTTGATGAAAATTCACTGTAACAGCAAGAGAGTCTGTTGTAAAGCACTGCGGATGAACATGTGCTCAGCCACACAGTATTTACCAGAATGTCTCTTCAGGAAATGTAGGTCAGCCACAGTTCTTAAAACCATCCTTAGGGAACATATATACTTACAGAAGATCCATCAGTAGTAAATCCACACTTCTTCAGTCAGTAACCCTTTCTGCCAATTGCTTTTAAATCTTTGATTCCCTTCCAGATAGAGTTCAATAAAATCAGCAACTAAAACATCGCTGTCATCAGGAAGCTTGCACTGGAGCAAGTGCCAAGGCCTATTGCTACATCCAGCACCACAGAGTGGAAAGATGGCATAAAAGATTGTTTCTAGCCTCCTCAGACAGAATTCAAAGAATTCTTCCTGCTTCAACTCCTGCCTCTTAGGACACCCTTCTGCAGTTTCTACTTCCAAACCACAGCCTGTCAGGCAGTATAGAGACCTTCTAAGAATTGTGGATTTGTACACACTGTACCCTGAGATAACAAGAACGTTCTTTAATATGCTCTGGTAGAGTTTGCCCTTATAAGTCAGAAGTTTGTAACAGTAGTAACAAAGTCACCATCAGAGCCTAAATAACTTATCAAGAAATGGAAATTGAACTGAACAACATGCCACTTTTCCCATCTTCTTAGTTTTTCTTCCCCTGTGACGATCAAGGTTAATCAATAATGAGAACATGCAACATGCTGAATATATTCATAAGACTGGCTACTGACATGACTGTCACTAAATGCACTTGCTTCTTGGAGTGCTTAAGAACTACAGTTTCAGTAGACAAGTTATTGAAACATTTAAAATTTATTTACATCTTATTACCAATGGATACAAAAAGAAACTAACAAGTATTACTTATCAACTCGCATACGAATATTATCTGCATATTCATTACAAATTATTTTGTGTTAACAGGTGAAACGACAGGCCAGTAACAAATACTCATTTTTCATGTCATATGATGAAACGCCTATTTATTTATTTTTTTATTTTGTAATTCAAATGCTGGAACACCCAATCACTCCTCCTTCCACATCTGATTCCAACATCCTCCACGAAAGGTTCCTAGAGAGGAAAGACTTAAGCAGGGATGCTCTGGTGTTACTCAACGAGCTCGATGCGTATTAAAATGAGCCTTGTCTATCCCCCTCCGGCTGCCAGGCCAAGGCAGCCCCAGACCGGACCTCCCTCCGCCGGGCCGGGCCGGGCCGAGCTGCCAGCGCGGGGGCAGCTGCGGAGCCGCCGCTCGGTGCGGGCTCTGCACCCGCCGTGCCCACGGAGCCCGGGCAGTGCCCGCGGCGGCCGGGGCGCGCTCCCCGCGGCCGTGCCGAGCCCGCAGCGCCCCGCGCCCCCCCGCCGGGGGTGGGTACCGGGGCCGGCGGGCTCAGCTCAGCCCGGCCCGGCCCGGCCCCGCAGCGCCCGCCCCGCCGCCCCCCGGCTCTTACCCAGCACCACGGGCGGCCCCGCGGGCCGGCGGCGCGGCGCGCTCCCGCCACCGGGACACAGCAGCAGCAGCAGGAAGAGGCTGAGGAAGGAGCTCCGTCCGGAGCGCGGGAGGAGCCTGGCGCCAGCCGGCAGGAACATCGCCCCTGCGCATAACCCCGGGGCCGGGAGCCGCCACCGCTGCGCCGGGGCTGCTGCGGCCCGGCCGGAGTGCGGCCCCGCCGCCCGGCACGGCCAGAAAAGGGCCCGCCCGCCCCGCCGGGCCCGCCCCCGCCCGCGTCACCGCCGAGCGCGGAGGGCCCGGGCGGCCGCCGCTCGGCCCCGGCTGTGGGAGCTTGGTCCTCTTACGGGAAGCCCTGTCAGTGTGGCGGCCCCGGCTGTGGGAGCTCGTTCCCTGTCAGTGTGGCGGCTCCGGCTGTGGGAACTCGTTCCCCGCCGAGAGCCCTATTAATGTGGCGGCCCCGGCTGTGGGAGCTAGTTCCCTGCCAGTGTGGTGGCCCCGGCTGTGGCAGTTCGTTCCCTTTCAAGTGTGGCGGCTCCGGCTGTGGGAGCTCCATCCCCTCGGTAAAGCCCTGTCAGTGTGGCGGCCCCGGCTGTGGGAGCTCCATTCCCCCTCAGAAAGCCGTGTCAGTGTGGTGGTCTCGGCTGTGGCAGTTCGTTCCCTGTCAGTGTGGCGGCCCTGGCTGTGGGAGCTCCATCCCCTCGGTAAAGCCCTGTCAGTGAGGCGGCCCCGGCTGTGGGAGCTCCCTTCCCCCTCAGAGAGCCGTGTCCGTGTGGCGGCCCCGGCCGCAGGCACAGACTGCTGCTCCGGACAGGTAGGGACAGCTGCCCCCCGTTCTGTTGGGGCCGGCAGAACACTCTGAGGGGGGAGATGTGCTAAGGGAGCAGACATGTCTCTCATTATTACGTCTACAGTTGTTTGGTCGTGAAAAATCTAACAGCGAAGTTAATGGGCGTTTGCTGCAAAACATGTCTAAAAATAAGTAGCGCAAAAGGGGCGTGGTCAGAATGGTTGAACGCCGAAGTGCTTGGGAGAGCTGGGAATTAGTGTCACACGGTCAAAGGACTGGGCATATGATAGAGGAGCTCACGGGCATATCTGCACTTCAGGCAACACCCAACTCACCCGGGAGCTAATTGGTACAGAGGATCCCTGGGATCAGGCGTTTGGCAATACTGAGAGGAAAAAAAATCATTAGACCTTTATACATGTAACAAGAACAGGCAGTCCTGTAATTACAGTAATTTGGAACCAGAAGTGTTATAAGCCTTAGTGCTTCAGCAATACCAGTTAGCAGGGGCTACGTGCTCTGTTTGGTGTGCAGGTCGTTTGATGGGTGTCTGCCTGTGGAGAGGAACAAGGAAGGGTATCCATAGAAGCAGAAATTAAATAGAGAAAAAAATGGAATCAGTGCAATCACAGCTCATGGTCAGTAATGATTGTGCTGATGGGCCGGACAAGATTTCCTTGACTCAGTCATATGAGCTCCTGCTGTGGAAATACACTTTCTAAGCCAGATGTTAGCAATTCATGCTCAGGATAAAGCTATTTCTGACAAGCAATTCATGCTCAGGATAGAGCTATTTCTGACAAGGTTATTTTACAACAGGAGCACTGCACTGTCTACTTCACAGCTTCCTACATCCCCCAGTGGGTCTAATAATTTTCAGAAATATTCCTACCTTGAATGGTTAATACACGAGCATGAGCAATATCACAAGTGAAGGTGTGAGGGAAAGACAGGTAGAAGTAGAATTTCTGGCCTCACTAAATTCAGTATTCAGCAACTTCTGTAATTCCTGGAGAGAGACAGGTCAGATATTTGTGTGTGAAGGCAGAATCTGGTAAATCAGATACACAGCCTACTGAGAGGAGTTTTAAAAAACTGCATTGTCTTGGCATTAACATGGAAGCAGAAGGATACATCTTCCTCCTTAAATAAGAAAATTAAAAAACAAATATTCAAGGAAGGTAAGGCTAAATATAAATCTAGACTTGCCTTTTTCTAGGCAGGAGCCACACCTTGTATGTTTACATCCAACAAACCCAAAGACAGGTGCTTAGTCACCATGCAAGTGTTGACATGAAATTGCCTCCTGCTGAGGCAAACTGCAGGGTGTGCAAGTGTGACTGACTTAAAGTGATTGCAACAGGGAACCTCGTGTACGAATTAAAAGTTACAAAATGCAGCAAAACACCTTATGGGAGGCTAAAACACTATTTAAAAGAATGACTGTGTCTGAATTCAGTTTTCTCTCATACTCAAAAGCCCCAAAATGCACATGTCCCAATAGCCTGGCTGGGATCACTTGTGCTATGACACAAGGTTCAAGGAATGACACCTGTCAAGCCCTCAACATCTTGTGGGTTCCCTTGGGTGGCCTCAGAGCACCATCTTGGGGCATATTTTCTGTGCCTGGCTGTGGGCCTCTAAGGGCACAGGCCTTTTGGGCTCCAGGTACACTTTGCATTTGTCAGCATTTACAAGTGCTCCTAGTGATTATCACATATGTATCACTTCTGTAACCATTTCCTCATTGATTCTACTCAAGATGTCTTCAAACCAGTCTTAATATTTCCTTTACAAATCCCTGTGCTCTTTTGACAGCTGGGAACCTCCTCACATTTCACTAAAATACTCTCCATCTAATTCTATCCTGGGAAAAGGCTTCTAAAACCATAGTAACTATTCCTGCAAGCCCAGGCTCTTTAAATAGCAGTCTTTCCGCTGATAAATCAAGTAGCATTTGTTAGTTATTTCTTTTATTGTCTCCTTTTGTGAGATCAGAGCATTTGCATTTAAACACAAAGTGCATTAAGCTCTTTGCCTTTGTAAGGTTTAAATATGCACAGCAAATTTCTGTTTTCACGCTGAGTGCCTGGTCCTATTGTCACTCACACCAACAAACCCAGGAACCTGGACACACAGCATTGCTTTCCAGCTGATGATACCCTGCTATTAATTGAGTCAGTGTAACTATTTCCAAGGGCTGCTTTGTTACTGTGTTAGAAGAGCAATCCAGCTCTTTCTCCACACAGAATGATTTAACAACAGGGATTTGTAGATTAACAGCAGTTTGGGAACATGACCATGTGTAGCCACACAGAAATCTACCAGTCATCATCCAAGGCAGATTCAAAGAATAACAGAACCAGCTACACATCTGAACTGCCAGTAAAATGCCAGCCAACTCGTTATTTTATAAAATACATTTTATATACTGCTTCATTCACATGTTTGATATCCAAAGTTGGCTAGAAATGGAAAATGAAGTTGTTACAGTTAAACTACTGATAAAAGGAGGACTGCATCCTTTTCATTTATGTATGAAGTGAAAAAAAAAATCATTATTCATACTTCAGAGGCCAGTTTGCTACCACTGTAGAATTTTTTTCATGTGCATAATCCATCTTCTAAGAAAATATTCTTTACTTCTTCCAAAAAACTCACACCATAGAAATAAACCATATTAAATGCCAGAAACTACAGTGTCAGTAGCATTATCTTTGTTTAAGACTCTTTGAGGGCTTGCACTCTTGACAGAGACCATGAATTGAATATGAGTTTGCACACTGGTTGTTTAAGAGAAACAATCCTTTTCAGAAATCTACTGTTTGCTTAAATGTCTTTTATTTGATTGAACAGAATTCTCTGTTTGCCTGTGATCCTTGCCATTGAAGTGGTGTTTGCATTGGCTCAAATACCCTCAAACACAATTGTGCTGACTTACACACACAAGTAGAAGACAGCTGGTTTCAAAGAGAGATGTGAAGACAACCAAAAGTGTTGTGACAAATTTCCTCTGTCCTTGCAGCCCAGTGCAGTAGCACAGTCCCAGGACACGACTTGCATTTGAACCAGAGCTGCAAAGACAATTCTTGCTTTCACTTCTCCCTGCTTCCTCAGTGCTTCACATCCACTTCCATATTGTTCCCCATGCTGCTGCTCAGTAGCATTAGGACAGTAAACAAAACCTGTGTTCCTCATTGTCTTTCAGGCTAAATTTGGTTACAGTGTCAATCAGAGACTGGAAAAAAGGGAAGAGAGCACTTGAATAGTGGGAGTACTGAAAATGCAGGCTTACATAACCATCAACCCACAAACTCAGCGCCAACGTGGGGTAACCACAACTAATAGAGTAACAGTCACTGTCATATCTCCTATCTTCAAACCTTTAATCCATATAATAGAGATCATGTTACTCCTTTGGCTCATGTTTTGCTAAAGCAAATCAATTTGTCCTTGTAAACCATCCATGTAATAAAGCTACATAGTAAATCATGAGGATTTAATTACTAACACTCGGAATTTCAGAATTCCTGCTCAGAGACAATTTTGTTAGAAACTGGGAGTGAGAAATTTTGAGCAAGAATGCTCAAACTTCACTAGTGGGACTTTTACTCAAGATTTATTGAGTTGGTGTTCTGGGTTGGACCACTGAAGAATTTTGAAACTGGAGGTAGGCAATATATGGAATTGAAAAAATAATTTAAAAATAAGAGGCGGCATGGGAAGATGAAATGGGGAGATACAATTTTGTGTAGGATGAATATATGGGGAAAAGTGTTGAAAATATAATTCATGTTGTGATGAAAACTGAGTAGGTTGAACCCTCAGGCACAGTTTGTGTCTTGCACAAGTTCCCACAAAGTACAACAACTTCCCAGCACATTGCGGGAGTGGTAGAACCTGACACCTTTTGCTCTGCAGAGACACTTGGGCCCTCTGAGATAGAAAGCTGACAAGGTGTTTTAATCTGCAGACAAGGTACTTTTTTCTGTGAGGAAGAAATTTGGAGGAAAAGCAGAATTTGGTGTGCTGTTACTGTAAGGCTTAACAAGTCTTTCAAGACTGAGTGTGGTTAGAGAGGGCACAGTGACACAAATCAAGCAGCAGCATTTCAGGATTCTAGTCCACATGTAATGAAAAGGCAAGAGGCCACTGCTTAATAAGCATTTCAGTGTTTCATCCAGTGTCACACCTGTTTGGTATCCCAAACAGCTGGACACAGTGTCAGGGGAGTCACAGGGAAATACAGGCCTTAGGAAATGTGCTAGCTCAGAGTACTTCTCTGAGTGGAGACACAACACTGCTGCTACTGAATCCAACAGATTAGTGACAAAAGTGAGTCCATCTCTGGAAACACAAGTGTGTCCAGAAGAACTGAAACTGCTCTCAGTAATTTAGTCTTGTATCAAAGGGGATGT